GCCCCTAGTAGCGTCCTTGCTCCTAGTAGCAATGCCAGGAGCTACTAGTAGCGTCCTTGTTACTACTAGTACAGCCAGGAGCCCCTAGTAGCGTCCTTGCTCCCAGTAGCAATGCCAGGAGCTACTAGTAGTGTCCTTGTTACTAGCAGTACGGCCAGGAGCCCCTAGTAGCGTCCTTGCCAGGAGCCCCTAGTAGCGTCCTTGCTAGTAGCAATGCCAGGAGCTACTAGTAGCATCCTTGTTACTACTAGTACGGCCAGGAGCCCCTAGTAGCGTCCTTGCTCCTAGTAGCAACACAGGAGCTACTAGTAGCGTCCTTGTTACTACTAGTACGGCCAGGAGCCCCTACTAAGCGAGAAAAAACGGCAGGATCCCTGTGCTGCTGTATCCCTGTCAGCGACCAAGGATATGTTTCACCACGGCCTCTAAGAAAACGACGCGGACGAAAGCAAGGCACCTTTTTTTACCGGGCTTCATAGAGACACTCAAAACATCAGTCTAGTTTCTTGAATCTGCTAATGAAAATATCAAAGAAAACTGAGGTTACTATGGAACTCAGGATGATCAAGCAACGCACGACTGCGCCATCGGTTTCTCAGCTCCAGGCACCCCCGACGACCTGTGCAGTTTTCGTGCTCTGCTCATCAGACTAGACTCCGCTAAGATCAAGATTGAGCCAGGAGGAGGATTTACATCAGACAAAAAATTAGTCAAAATTGCAAGTCCAGCAAACAAGCAAAAGTGCTCTGCACAGGTCTGCGCAGCACATTTAGCAGCGTAGGGGTGGCCATGCGAGTGAGTCCTTCAGTGGATCATGAATTTGGGGCGCCCACAAAGAGCTTCAGGCCGCCAAAGACCGCCAAAGGAGGAGCGCTAGGCATGGTCTCCTTGAAAGCGAACCAAAATGAACCGGAGACAAGCGCATCGCTAGTAGTAACAGGTGCCTTACTAGTAGTAACAGGAAGCTACTAGGAACAAGTGCATCGCTACTAGTCACAAGTGCCTTACTAGTAGATGGGAGTAGAGTTGAGATCGGTCCTCCCAGGTTGTTTTCAAGGCGCTTCCCGATGCTTTCGCACCTCAAAGCAGTCTTGCTGGCGGCTCCTTGAAAGATAAGTATCTTGATACTTTAAACAATACAATTTGGGTGTGTATATAGTTGTGTTTGTTTCATTTATGGGATTGAGTTTCTTCTATATCTATTAATTTTCTACATGTATCGAGGCCTTTCCGTTCGCCACCTGAGCCAAGCACTTGAGGCGCCTGCGGGCCACCCCCAAGACCACTTGCCTGGCTGGGAAGTCCCAAGTCTGAACCCCGGGGAATGGAGATTTCAGGCAATTCATTCATATCATTTCCTGGGATACTTCCTAATCTGCCCTTCCGCATGTTCGTATGTTTTCCTGTGTACCTGCCAATCAAAGAAGCCAAGCGCTCTTTCGATCGTGCTCTTTCAGCAGCTTCTTCCCAGAAGGACCCCCTTTTCCATGTTCAGTTCATTGCCTGACGCTGTCTGGTTTCATTGACTTTGACTTCGACAGGCTGTTCGACCGGCACACAACCACGTTCCGACCCGAAACGGTGGTCGAACGCGACGAGACATGGGGGGGGCCGACGGAGCCGTAAAGTGGCTTGAGGCGACATACCTATGAGGTAAGCTAAAGCTTGGCGGGTTCGTAAATGCGTCTGCGGAGATACACATAGAGTTATATAGATATACATATATATATATATGTATCTAAGGTGCGGGATCCATAAAAGGCAAAGTCGCAGAGAGGACCTGCTCACACACTTTTCAAGGAACCCTTAATGAAAAACTACGGTAGGTAGAAGCGCTTGTTGCCATGGTTCCAGTAGTGTGGCATGTTTTCATTCCAGGAGTGGATGAAGCTGAATATCCCTTGTTGGAGCAGATCAAGTGATCAACAACATCAAGCGATAGCATCTCCACATGTAAATCACACTCTCAAGACTCCATGGTTGGTGTTTTTCATATTTTCCTCAGCTTCTCTCTGGCTGAAACAATGCTTTCTTTTTTGGGATGGGCAGGGACCTTAACCTTGATCATGTTACGTAGGTCCACCTACAGCAAAAAAAACAACACAGGGGTCCAAAACCTACCATGTGCATACAAACACAGAAGTACCTCCAAGGCTTGACCGAATTTCCGCTTAGGGCGTTGCTCGAGCTGCTGTAGGCGTAGTCCCAGGAGCTGTCTGAGGCGGACTTTGTCGAAAAGACTTTTGCGTTCGGTCCGGAGGCAAATGCTTTCCAACTCACAAAAGGAAGCGAAGAAGTCTCGCTCGGGCAAGTTGCGGTGCAATATCCAGTCAGGAAGCACTTTATGGGCATTAATTTCAAAAAATGAACTTGGCACCAAAAAGCTAAGATAGTCTAAGTCTAAGTGTTTTCTCGATCTCAGGCCTTTCTCCCAGCTGCTCCATTTGGAGCCTGGCCGTGCACTAGACAGACACCTAGTGCCACTGATCTCCACAAGATCAGAACAGACCGGGAGTGGTTGCAAAAAGCCGTGACAAAAGGAAAAAAAATGCGTTTTTGGACTCCACACAGCATTGGTTTAAACAACCAATAACATCATTAAAAAACTCTGGAGAATTTGATCCCACCATAGAACTAAGGCTTCTGACCCCCAAATCCTGACAGCAGTGGCCTTGCCAGGTGTCGCTCCAGCTGTCTGTCTTGGTCAAGGACACGGTGGGCATCCTCGGCGAAACGGCTGGGCCTTCGCTCAGCAGATTGGTTGAGAGTTAGTGGCGATACACGGCCTTTGTCCCCCGAGTCCCAAGGTGGTCGCTGCGTTGCGCTGCGTTGCTGCTGTGACTCCGCCTTTTCTTGGAACTTTGCCACGTGTCTTGCGGCGGATCCTGAACCTGCTGATCCGGCTTCTCCTGAGGCCACCGGGGATCACTCATCAGAAGTTCGCATTCTGGACAGGGTCATGCAACCGAAGGCATTCACAGCAAGCTAGAGTCTGGCTGCTAGAAAATGGCCTCCAACGTCCTGGAACACACAAGCCGGTACCCAAAGCTCTTCGACTGTTCTTGGGTTTGAAGGGGCTTGCAACGTTGCCGGAATCACTGTCACTGAAGTCCGTGGTGCCCGTGTTCCTCGTTTGAAACACCCCCCAACCTCTGACGACTCGCTCCTGCAAGCCGGACCACACCCGTTTGGCAGGGCGGAGCGACCTCTCACGGTGTGTTCACTTGCCATTCCTGTCTCTCTGCCGCTTGCCTAGGAGCAAGGAAGCTACTAGTAGCTCCTGGCCGTACTACTAGGAGCGATCGGACGCCACGAACGAGGCTCTGGGGATCCGTCTGAAGCCTTTCGCCTTTCGCCTTTCGCCTAGTCCGATCGGGTCGCTGGGTCACCACACCAAACTGACACACCAGTTGGGCGCACCTGCTCCGGTCGAAGGTTCGATGTTCAACGATCGACGAAAACCCGCTTCCCATCACCCCGAGACAGCATACAACCGCGAGCGCAATAGTAGTAAACAAGAAGCTACTAGGAGCTCCTGGCATTACTACTAGGAACAAGAAGCTACTAGGAACAAGGGCATCGCTACTAGGGGCAAGGACGCTACTAGGGGCTCCTGGCATTACTACTAGGAACAAGAAGCTACTAAAATGGAAAAAGGAAGACGATGCTGCGACCCGCTTTCGGATCAGGACATACCAGGACCCTGTTGCCAACACCCTGGCCAAGCTCTCCAGCCTCAGGAGTTCCTGACACGAAGTGTTAGGACCATTAGGAAAGCATGCATAGCCTCCAACCTTATAGCAAAAGGAACCTATTAGCGATGGCCTCCAACCTAGAAGCGATGGCAAGTGTGAAACCAATAGCAAAGCTTCTCTTGGAACATCTTTACCTGGTATAAAAAGGATAAAAGTGTTGCATGTTGCTGATGCTGCTCTATCAGCCCAGAAGCTTTGCTGTCACATGTTTGATGAAGGTCAATATCTCACATCTAGACGCAGATGAGGGCAGCTCTTTTGTCGGTGCTTTCTTTGAGCAAACCATGCATCTGCCAGGTGAAACAAAGCACAAAGCTAAGCTAAACCTTCGGAAAAGGGAAAAATAATCCCTTGGGACTTCTCGCTGCTCTTCTTGAGCAATCGAAATACGACTAGGCTCTGGAGACGCTGGAGGCTTTCCTTTGAGAGGCCGTTTGGCTTCCTTTGGCACAAATCCCATTACCCGTCGTCAGTTCGGCACTGAAACGGCCCTGCTGGAGCATCCAAAGGAACTGTTCCACTGCTCAATTCCCTTGAACAGAAGGCTTCTGTGTCTGGCTGTCTGCAGTGATTGATTACTTATTGGGAGAGGACGAAAGGACAGGTGAAACCTACTGAAGAATGGACAGTTGACATCCTTCAGAGCATCATCCCGCAGGAAAGCATGAATAGCCTCCAACCCAATAACAATGGCCTCCAACCTAATAGCAAAAGGAACCTAATAGCGAAGGCCTCCGACCTAATAGCTGTCACCGGCCACCCCCAACACTTTCAAACGAGGCCTACTTCACCACCCTTCTCTTCAGCGAATCAATTCTTTGCCTTCAGTCTTGTCTTACCCCATGTTCTACTACACCGGTCTGAAATGCTTAATGGAACACGAAAGCCACTGAAAGGGTTAAGGCCTACCTGTTGTGACCCTTGTGTCCCCTTGACAAATTGTTCTGCGGCATCTCATGTGAAGCTCCAGTGCCACTCATTGCTGATGCCATCCCGACTCTGTCGGTCTGAACTTGGCTGGGACGGGCACGATAAGCGCTTCATGGGCCAACCTCAAGAACGAATGGGCATGTCCAGACTCAGTTTTCGTGACAAGTCAATGTCCAGCTTGAGAATGCTTTCACTCGTGACATGTCACATGACGATCCTGACACTAAAAAGTGCATGTCTGTTTCAATCACCAGGTTGACAGCCAAGGTGACTTTTAGCCAATGTTGTGAATTACCTTGAGCAGCACTGTGTGGGTGTGTGCCTTTCGGGCCACATCTGTTTAGCTCCGCACGAACTCGCATCGGAGCATTGAAACTCCATCTCTTTCGTGCTGGCGGCCACTATTGACGTTCTGCCCTGCGCACGATCGACGAATTGCGTTCGAAGGGTTTTGTTGATGGGGCTCCAAACGTTCTACTGCGGTTGTGAGGGCTTGCTAGCCACTCGACCGGAGCTATCCGCATGGCAAAAGAGGTAAGTCGTGTACACAGAGCTTTTCCAGAGGGTGCCCCTAGGGAGTGCCTGCTTAGAAGCAGCCATGACTATGAAAAGCCACGCCCTTGACAAAACCAGTCCTGATGGGTTGGATGAGCTTGCACCTCCTGGCAAATAGTATGGACCAAATCAGCCATCCAAGCTGAAGCCGAAGCCTCTGCGCCACTTCTTCTTAAATCTTTGCAAGTATATTAATGCAAACCACTCACGGGTAAAATCTCTGCAACCTTTGTCTTGGCAGGCATAAAACAGCAGGTCATCGAGGGCCACCATATTTCTGTTTGTAAGAGGCCAGGGAATTCATCAGTCCTGGAAGGATTTCTCCACGTTTGGCGAGCTTCCGTAGCAACAAGCCCAGGAACAGGCTCCAAACACCTCAAACACATCACAATCTTATCTTAAATGAGATTCAATGTGTTTGCCATTTCAAATTTCAAGTGATACCTCCCAACATGTGTATATATATATATATATTAGACAGTTATCTACATATATTTCGTTCTCCAACTGCCATGTCATTTGCATCCATTTGCCTAGGAAAGCTGGAAACCTGGGCCAAAGTGTCTCCCCAAGGACGAGGCCTTCGGTCTGGAGCAGCAGGTGGCTTGAGCCACGTCAATCACCGACGCACCTTGGGTGTTCGAACCGTTTGAGTCAACGGTGAAAGCCCGAGGGAGTGGAGTTTCCGAGAAAGCAGAAGCTTTGCGAGACGAGTATGACAGGTTCGATCCATGCTGGACTGCTGGACAAATGCTGGACTTTGCATTCTTTGATCTTTCTCGTTGAGCCGAGCCCTCAGCTCAGCTAGGAAACCTTCAGTCCAACCAGGGACGAATGACTGCAGTTCGTCCTTGCGAAATCACCGAGCCAAGCGCCAGCTTCTGAGAGGTTCAGCACTCTCTGGGGCACGCCGCGAAGACCTCACGGAATGCCGAACGACAGTCTGCCCCGGTAAAAGCATGAAAAAGCCGCCACCAGGGCCAGGTGACCCCACTTGGCCAAAGAAGAAATGGCTTTGGATTTGGATGGGTTCATCCCAAAAACTGACATGCGAAAACGTGTGACGCGTCATGCACTCGTTGGGATAACTTTTCTCGATCACTCTTCCCCTCGCTGTCGATCTGGGGCCGACGGGCCTAAGTTCTTCACCAGCTCATCTGCAAAGTGGCAACCTCACCGTCCAAACCGTCGCTACCCTCTTGGGTGACCGGAATGTGTTTTCAGCTCGTCTCGCAGAAACGAATGCAAATCAGCTCAGGTCAAGGCAATTCTTTCTGAGAATGTTGTACTTGTTTATAGGCCAATTGGCCTGCAAGCATCGGCTGCGAACAGCAGGCATTGTCCAAGTGGCGCCATGAAAGCAGACAGGGACCATCTGAGCCATGCCTCCATCTGAGCTATGATGTACAAAACTTGTACCTTGCAAGACACCGAAACATGAAAGCAGCCGGCAGTGTCCTCTTTTCTTTGAAAGGGTATTCTGAAAGGTCTGTGATATTGGATGATATGGGGATATGGGCCATGGGTGTACAAGCAGAAAATCAATTGAAGATCCAGGCGTTTTAATCAAAAATGCATCCAAATCATCTAAAGTCGCAGCCTTCAACTAACTCTCCGATGTCATCAACCCCACAATCGAAAGCCTCCGTCTTCGTTGTAAAGCCCATGTCCACCTCGCAAATCCAAGGAGACACAGCGGTTTGTCCAAGCAGAAGATGATCATTTAGACAGAGTCAGTTGTGCACTCAGTGGTCCCTAACTTTGAAGCATCCATGTGGTCGGAGAGCGAGAAAACGCCAAAGTCATGTCCGACAAAGCTGGTATGTCCTCCTCTGCAAATCCTGGATCCCCCGACCGTCTCCACAAAGCGATGGCCAGGACCTCAGGGACGTGCGAATCGGACGACGACCACACGGAACCCTAAGGACATCCAGATGAAGCGATTCTTGACAAGAGAACACCTGCTGATCCCTCTTCTTGTCGGTACAAGCCCGGAGTGGGCAAACACTGATGCTTGAAAGATGAAAGGATGGGGCCTTTCCACACATCCATTGAGCCTATTCCAAAGAGAATCAAGAGTTGTCTTCTGGGAAACTCAAGCACCGTGGGAGAATATCCACATCATGAAATTCAAGGGAACCAGGGTGTCCTTCAAAAGTCCAGAAGTTGCTGCCGGTTTGCCGTCCGAAGGATTCCAGAAACCCAACGCGTGTATAAAGTCTAAACATCTCCAACCATCTTTTCTGATTGCCCATGACTACCCCACATCTGTGTTTTGTTCCCCACATCTGTTTTGTGGAAGGGAAGAAAAAGAAATAGAAAGAAAACTCCTTTTCTGCCTCCTCCCAGTGACTGGGCTTCCCAGCTGTGCTTCGGCCATGAGCTAAAAATGCCCGTCCGAGCTCGGTCCACCTTCACGTCCCTGATATCGGAGTAGCTCCACTCCAAACCGTAGACCTCCCGCACCGCGAGACCGTTTTGGGATGAGCCGGGCCAAAGACACAAAAGGGGCGTCACTGAGTTGGGTGGCAACAGGGAGTTGAGTGGGGCACATGGCTGGACCAGAGGATCATTCTTGGCAATCTACAACTTCAGATTTGTCAGAATGTGAAGATCTTGCCCACCTCTATGCCGCAATGAAAGGCTCCAGAATCAAAGGGTTTCAGCACCTCGAATTCGTGAGCGGTCTCATCTCATGAGTGTCCCCCCATGACGGAAAGTGCAACTTGCTCATCCATGCACGGGCCCAGTTCAATCATGTTCGATCAAGCTCTGGGACAAGGTCAAACAAAAAAGACAACTGGGTTTGCACTGCTTTCAGCAAGTTTGGAAAAGTATATCCTCTGTGATAGAAGTGGAATTGTAGCATGGTTGATTCCTTTGTCAAAGGGGGATCCAACAGATGTCCTTGAAATTGAGAGCACAGCAAACGTATCCGTACCTTTCAGGCTCTTTCAGCTTGCTCATTTGCTTGGGGCGCCCAGCTGAGTTCACGAAGGACATCTGCCCAGAAGAACCCAGATCATAGATGTTCAGGGACACCTGGGACTTCCGGGCGCTGGGACAGGGCGCTGCAAGCTTGCGCTTCGTTCTGGTCAACCTTAGACTCGGTGAGCTCAGCGAGAGACCGGCACTGGATTTCGACCTCTTTCCTTGAAGATCACACCTGAAACCAGGGAAGATCGAGTCGACGAAGTCGTTGGATTTGGTCCAATAAGTTGGTCAAGGGAATAAAAACGACTCATCCCGGTCGTTCATGCAGGTGCCAAAATGTCTCGAAAGGCCCAAAAAGGATTCACTCAACATCACTCAACTCTCGACAAGTTGGCGCACTTGACCCATGAACAACGAACGCTAATGCTTGGCGCCTACATCTGCAGAGTCAGATGTACGGCTGCAGTTCTGCCCTGGCAGCTCTGAGGCAAGCTACAGTTCAGCAATGAGGGGAATCAAGTCTGCGGGGTGCAAGCCAATTAGAGTTTTGGTGAGTGTGGCAAAATTCGCTGAGCCACGAGAAGTTACTGGACTGGTGGAAAAAAATGGCGTGGTCTCAATCTGCTCACGGGTCGTCGTCGACCTTTTTGGCCTTCGCCAATCTGAGCACAGTCCCAAATAGAAAAGCAGGCCAGGTAGACCCATGGAGCACCTCAGCCGGAGGGACAAACACACAGCCTTTGCAAATTGGCTAAAAGCGATTGCAAGAACAAATGCACCAGAAATCGATAGTGATACGGTTGATGGACCAAATCATGCACCACTGGACGAACAAACTCATGTATACCCTCGCGCTCCATCTTTAACATTGAGTTGATGAAATGCGTCAAACAAAAAAGTTGAATGACCAAAACCCAGAATGACACCTAACAAACATGAGACAACGTTGAGTTGGGGGGGCACGGGGGGTCTGTATTATTGGATGACCACATGTGTTGCTTTATTGATGCAGGATTTCGTCCATCAACAGTATGGCAAGAGATACGAAGCGGGTCTGACAATGCTGCAGGGCTGCAATACATTTTTTTCACAACTGTAATGCACCTGTTTGGCGAGTAGGGACCATGAACAGAACTGAGGATCTGGCACTTGCCGCACTGACAGCGTCTGGCAGTTCCCAGGCGCTATGTAGAAAATGGTAGGAAAAGCGTGAAATTGCCTAGGTCATCTTTGCTGATCCGGCATAGGAAGTCAGTTGTCTATTTGGAGACCTCTGAGTTGCGAGATCGTGCAATCATGCGCTTTCTTGGCAAACAAACCCATGCTTGAGCCCTTCTGGCAGATGGAGATGGGTCAAAACCGGAGGATCCGGGTTGATTAACGGGTCATTGAACCAGGTAACGGGTCACAGACTGCTTGAGCCGGTCAACCTACCAGGGTGAAACAGGCAGGTCTTGACGAAAACAGCCAGATCGATCTATGGAAAAAGCACTCTCTATGCAGGCAGCGTCAGTTGAACCAAATTTTGGTAACCACTTGTCTGATGCGAACAAGACTTTGTAAGCAAAAACAGGCTGAAAAAGCACCCAGCGATTGAATGCGAAGCACCCAACGTCTGAAGCCTTGTCAGTCGGAGCTCCCGTTGCATCCCAAACCAATTCTCCTGGAATCCCGCCGCCTGCATCATCCCGCACCAGTCTCACCTCGGTCGCTGGCGATGACACGCGGCGAGACGGCGAGACGGGACGGTGGCGCGTGCAGCGCAGCGAAGCGGAGCTCACCTTGCAAAGAAGGTTTTAAAAGAATCCGTCAGTAGATTGAAAGCATCTTCAATCAACATGAAGCTGTGAGAAGCCACACTAATTACACACGATGACGCACTCAAACCTGCACCCAGATTTGCGCTCACAGGGCAGCACTTTTTTATCTCGCTGAAGCCTACAGAAAGAGTGGACAGTGTGGAACCAGAGGTCCTAACAGAGGCACAAGGACACGTTCCATAAATCCAGTGTTGTGTGATGTATATACATATTATATAAATGTGCAATCTACTGGCCCTTATGTGTCTTTCCTTTGATGGTTGCATGACTGTCATTGTCTTGTTGCTTTTCGATTGGGGTTGGGTTGCTTTTTGTCGTGATACGGCGCGACCACAAACTCTGTTTGTAAAGCATGTTCTATTTGTCCAGCTTTGAAACTAGATCCCAACTGGGAGGGTTATAATACGACATGTCCTGAACAGCCCCGTGCCTGCCAAACGCTAGCTCAGCCGCATGCGCTAGGCGTGCTTGATGATGGGGAAGCAAGTGACCTGGCAGCGATCTACGAGTAAACTGGAAGCAGGCAGCCACTTCCATCAAGGAACTATACAGTACAGTAATAGAGAGAGAGAGAGAGTGTGTGATTGTTGACCACTGGCTGTTGGCCGCTCTTGTAGCGGACACAAAGGCTCGTGCCATCGTTCCTGCACCTGGGTCGTTTCCATTTTAGTCGATTCTTGCGCAGTCAACAGTTTCATTCACGCCTGCTTTCTGAGCAAGGATGGGCTCCAATCTGGCGAAGAGCCCTCAGAGACTGCAGGAAAACAGCACCGCAACTTCTGAAGAAGAACATCCTCAACCCAACAAAACATAACAAAACATCATCTATACAAGGTGTGATGAAATCACATCTCTGAAGTGGTATGTCTTGGCAAGTATTTCCTAAAATGTCCGTCGGGAAGTGATTCTTACATATTCTTATATACCACAGATATTTGGACTGATTGAAAAGGATGCATCTCAGGTCAAGCGATGCTCAACCATTTTCTCAAGCAAAACCATGCAAACACTAAAATCGGCTCATTAACTGCAACAAATCACCATCATTAGAATCAAAGTAGATCGAAGAAAAGGACACTAAGGACACCTTGAAAATTGAAAAAAACAATTGGATTCTTTCGAATCAGGGGTCAGAAAACAAACCCACCCGACCACCCGACCACCCGACCACCCAGACACCAGGTCACTCCGGTGTTGCGACTCCGCCAGAGCGCACGCGATGCGCGAGGCACAGCTGGGAGACACCGAAGGTCGGTGCCTCGGAGGTCGAGGGGCTATGTTAACATAGTGAAACAATGTGAAACATCAAGATGACAGTCGACATGGCCTACTGTATCTTCTGGACCGCGGCTCAAGAACAAATGGTTCGGAACTTCTTCAGTTGCGGTACAAGAGCTCATCGCAGATCGCATGCAATAGCACGTCCTCTTCCGAGAGCTGCACGGCCTGGCTGCAAAGGGTGGCGCCATGGCACTCCTGGCCGAGGCTTTCGGCCTCGTGGCTTCATTGGTCAAGACAACGTGGTGGGCACCCCCAAAAGACCAAGCCAACCATTCCTGGACCCTTCCTGTGTGAAAATGTGGACTTGGAAATGAAATCAGTACCTCCTTGCTGTACCGGTCACCAGGCTGCATGCTCGCTTTTCAATCATAAGCACCCAGGCAGACAGACAGGCAGGCAGACAGCCAGGCAGACAAACACAGCCAGCCAGCCAGCCTGACTCACTCACTCACTCACTGAATGACTGACAGGACAGACTGACTGAGTGACTGGCTGACTGGTTGACTGCTGACTGGTGGACTGGTTGACTGACTGACTGATTGATTCATTGGTTGGCAGTGTAGTATTGATTCTTGCAGGATCGTGCATCCACAACCTTGATGTCCCAGGTACAGTACAGCCCCTTGGGCTGCGCACCTCTGTGATCTTCAGCTGTGCCTTGGTCGCCCTCACCAGCTGTGCCTCGCTCAACGCCGTGACCACCTTCGCCAGACGTTGTCCCAGGCGCTGGGTGACACCGTCCGCAGTCGGTGGTGTCGTGGACCGTGGTCCGCAGTCGGTGTTGGCACAAGCCGAAAGGAAAGCCACTAGGTGCTGTGGCCCAAGGTCTTTAGGCAAGGCCTCCGCGGCGGCTTGGAAAAGGAAACGAAGCCATTTCTTGAAGTATGGAGGGCGTATCCTCATCTACAGTATGCGCAAAACAGATGTTCCATAGCCTTCGCCAGTTGAACCATGTTGTTCCACGTTTCGCTTGTTCTTGTTCAGTCACTACCACCTTGTTTGGACCTCACTTTGCGCTTTCAGGAATGCCGCCTTTTATTCATCACACCAAAGCAGATTGACAGCATCCCAGCCTCTTCGACAGCAACCTGAGGGTGGTGGTCAGCTACTGTGATCAGTATTTATGACTGATCGTTTAATCCATCCACATCTGTCGCACAAACTGGAGCTCTCATGCACTGCCATGTCCTTGTGTCCCCGCATTTTGGCAAAAGGCCGACCATCAGAATCTCCAAAGAAGCAACTGCCAATCTGTTCAACCACTAGGTTGAGTCACCGTGTTGCTGGAATGAGACATGAAGCCCCTTCCGTCCACCTGCACCACCTGCTGCGCCACATCAATGCCTCAGTGCATCGGCAGGATCCGGATGTGCCCCGGGCGCCCAAAAAACCTGCCTGACCTGGTAGCAGGTGTAATGGATCACCATAATCCATCATAATGCCTGACATGACATTCCCAGCGGATCAGTGTATCTCAGTGGATGGGCCTTGAGTTCTTCTGCCACTTTGTACCTTCCCATCGGTTGGCCAATCAAATTTCAAGACATCAGCTTGGGGTCGAGGCTTCCACACTGCGCCAAGTCCGTCTCTGAGACCAATGAAACTCCCCAACCCAACCGTATACCCAACCGTACCCAACTGTCCAACCGTCCAACAAAACACCCAACGGCGCCAACGGCCCGTTCGCCGCAGCACCCACTCGTCCGGCCGCCGCGGCAGTCGCTGCCGCTGAAGCCAGCGCTGCCAGTTCTGCAGACGGCGCCTGTGGCAAGCCCTGCGAAGCCTCAGTCTTGAAGCGCAGCGTCCAGTGGAAGAAAAATTTCAAGACTTGATAGTTTCTGACCCCGTCCAGTGCGGTCCGGCCTCATGGATGAGTCGCCTCACGTCCACATCCACCGCGTCCAACACAGTGTGTGACCGCGCCACTGCCCACAAGACCGCGCGGCAGGTGGACGGGACGGGCTCACGTCGGAGCACCTCCTCCGTGAGGGCCACCTTGGACAGGAGAGGTTCCTCACGGACCTTCCAGAAAACGCGAAGTTGCGGTCTTCCAAAATCCCCAAAACCATCCAAAATCCAAATCCTCTCAGCTCTGCTCGGCCCTCCTCTCTCTTGTTTCCTAGATGGGTTTTGATTGGAGTTCACCATCAAACCCAAAAAATCCGTCGCTTTTTCGATAGGGCCAGCTCTCAGAGCGCTTTTCGTTTAGCCACCACCAGGGCATGTCTTTTCTCGCCATCTTCGGGCCAAGCAGTGGAAGCGGAGGCCAGCAGCTTGAGTGTGTCCTGCAGAGCAGGGCCCTACAGATGACCCCATTCAAGAGACAAATCAAGCCCAGTGCTCTCTTGGCTTTGGCCAGCACTTTATCATGGGGGATGAGTTCGTGCTCGACTGGTTTTCTGACTCACCCAACGAAGCAATTGCTTCGACATGCGCAAAGAAACGAGAGCGAAACCACAAGAGGGGCACTGTCTTGGTTTTTATTGTTTCTACCCAGAATTCGAAAAGAAAGAAAAAACACACGCACACACGTCCATGATGACTTAGCCACATCCAAAGGTCCAAATCTTGAAAGGACTCGACACAAGTTTGTTGATCCCTATCCTTGCAGTGTGCTTTGCTTCGCTCTTAAACTTCAGGAACTCTATTCATCATGTCAGTGAAGAATGACATTTGATTTTTTGAAGATGATTTCGGAAAGAAAAATGATGCACAACGAAACACTCCTTCTTAGGAACTCCTGACTTGCACCACGTACAAGTGTCCGCCCCTTTGGTCTGTCAAGTCGGCTGCATTCACGAGACGTACAGAAGTGCAGACTGATGCGCATATACATGCATGTAACTAGAGGCAACCACTGATCTTGGGGGGTACCAGATATGATATACATATATACATATATATATATACTCACGGATTTACTTAAGATTGTGACACGTTCGTGAAAAACGCTACACTTTTTAACGTTTTTCCCCGAAACAGTTTACTGTTGGGTTCTATCTTAGAAGAAAACCAGCTGGCCACACTCACTGAGCCGGGCCGCATGGGTTTGGTCATAATGCACCTGCCGGGAGTTCCCATGCTCAAATGTCATCTGACAGACCCAACACCCAAACCGACCATCTCTATCCCCCTGGTACTGATCCGGAAAGGCAGCCTGGATACGTTTCCGCCGCTCCACCCGATTTTGCGCAAGCCGAAACCAATCCCCGGATGAAATCCCCGCCGCCGCCAAACAGCGTTCTAACCATCGAGCCTGACCCACAAACACACTATTCTTAAGAGCTCTCCCCTTCCATCGTCAGAGAGTTCCATGACCAGGCGGGCGCGGTAGCCAAAGCCATGGGAATAACCACAGCTTTGGCAATCGTCAAACGGACCGATCACTTCGTTTTATTCGGCAGAAGCCGTCCCGGACGACGCGACCCACCCCCCACATGCTCGACGACCGGCGCTTCTCCAAAATGAGGTGTGTCTGTAGCAGCATTGCCGGCGCCCGCCAGTCTCAGGCCTGCAGTTTTGCGTGGATGAACCCGCTCTTCAACTTCCCAATCGCCGCACACTACACTAAACAGCTGTTCAGCAGCCACCACCTCATCCGCCTCCCCACAAATCCCTGTGTCATCCGCATAGCCAAAATCCCCAATCGCAACCTGACCTGTTTCTGCCCCTGCTTGAAACCGACCAGCGCGCTTGAAACCGACCGGCGTGCCGTTTACTACATATCCATAAGGACCCAACACATCACCCCAGTCCTGAGCTGGCAGTCTGAAGTCAGAATTTAAAATCCCTCAAAATGATCCGGATTGAGACTTCGACAACCGTCGACGCACGGCGTCCCGTTCCCGGACCGACGCCCGGGATCGAGTGAGTGCGAAGAACCGGATCGAACCGAGAAACCGGAGGACCCAGCCTCTCAAATTCCAGGTCAAGACAGTTTTTCCTACTCGCTCTGCATCGCTGCCTCCCGAACACCTCCCGTTCAACGAGTGTCCGTTTAGCATTGTTGTGTTTACGCAACGTTGTCCGTTTGTGAAACCGCGATTTTGCCCGGAACCTTTGACAGAATCTGCGCCGTTGCACTTTCCGCATGCCTCTGACACGTTGTGTGCACAAGTGCAGCCAAATGAGTTCCCCACTCCTCATACACTCTTGCACGTTTCATTCTGTCCGCGGTTGTGTCCAACTAACCTACCACGCCCCCTGTCCAAAGCACGCACCTTAGGACCCAAACACGGGAAACCAAACCAGCCAAACCCAAACCAGTTCGCCCCAACAACGTGCGGGTCAGTCACGTTGTTGTTACCCCCCGATCGGTGGCCAATGGAAGAGTTGACCCAAGGGGACAACTGAACGTCCCTTGAGCCGAAACCGGCGGGAGTCGCGTGCTCCCGTTCTCCGCATAAACCAAAGAAACGAAAAGCGGGAACCGCATGGCGAAAACCGGAGAACGCCGGACGCGTAGGACCGGATTGATTGGGTTCGCCCTTGGTCCATCCTGACCCCCCAAGATCGGCGCCCACGGGAAGGGCCGCACGCAGCGTATACATATTGGTGCGCAGAGCGCCGAAGAGTTGCTGAGCCGAGCGTTAACATTCCAACCCACGCACCGCAGCCCACCCCACCCCACTCTCAGTCACTCGCATTGTGCACGTAGCGTAGCGTAGAAGGGGTTTCTTCTGTATGGGTGTACAGCGTGAGCCCAACATTAACATCCCACCCCACCCCACCCCACCCTCAGTCACTCGCATTGTGCGCGTGGCGTAGCGTAGAAGTGTTTCTTCTGTATGGGTGTGCAATTTGAACAGAACGTTAACATGCCATCCGACCAAAACCGTCGGAATCGTGGAACAGTTCTCAAGTCTTAATTACAGTGTGTTTTGCATCGACCGACGAAAACACCCGCGGTAAAAGCATGTATTTGTCGCGACAAATTCCGAAAAGAGGATATCCAAAAAAACGCCTAAATGACGTATGAAAGTACAAGTAAGGTTAAAACACTTCCCTTCTTAAATAAACCCGTCTGGATATATATATATATATATATACATTTATATAATATATACAAATCCACCATGGAGTCGTGTCCAAGCTCGTCAGCGACCGACAAGAACCACGACGTGTCTCCTCTGTCGCTTCTGACGAAATGCACCGCGCATGCACAGCAAGGAGGAAATCTGCAGACGGAACATGCTTTGCCTGAAGGTGACAAGGGGCAGGCATGGCAAGAAACTTCAAAAGCAGGGGGTGCTCGTGCTTGAAACTAGTACAGTAACTAGCGATGCACTTTGCGATATTTTTGGTGGGACCAGCCGCCACCGGCACCCTGGGTCTCTGGCAGCCAGGGAGCTGTCACCATGGCGTGCGTCACCTCAACGCACACGACCGACGTCTGGATGCAAAATTGTGTGCTGGTCTACTCCACTGATTTTCGGAAAGGCTTCTCACATGGAAAACTGATTGTGACCGATTGTGGCTTTGGCAACCTTTCCATTGAGGTTCCGAACACACCTTTCCTTTCATGATTCAAAGATGAAGGCTCCCACTAACTTGGGCACTTCTGGCGGGTGACGACTGCAGAACTGTGTGGGCTCATCCAATTGGCAACCTGTGGTCAGAGCCGCAACATACTGAAGGCTAGAAGTGGCTAAAAGCAAACAAACATGCGACAAAAGTTCCATTTGACTTATATAAGGCTTTTCCTGTTCAACACTTCAACTCTCACCTGAGCAGTGGTCAACCTCTCAAGCCGCCAAAGGACAGACCATCTCAATCCATGCAGCCGACCTTTCACTTTCCTCAAAGGGCAGGCCACCTGCATGCGATCGGCCATCTCGTAGGGTAGGCTTTGGGACAGCGCAGCTTTGGCGACTGCCATCGCTCGGAAGCTCTCAGAGATGTCCAACTCGCTGAACTCCTCCCTCGAAAGCCTCGCGGCGAAGACACGACACCAGTCGCAAAGAAAAAGTGGACAGCTTCTTGTTACTAGTAGTAAGGCCAGGAGCCCCTAGTAGCGTCCTTGCTCCTAGTAGTAAGGCCAAGAGCCCCTAGTAGCAACCTTGCTCCGTTCGTAGCGATGCCAGGAGCCCCTAGTAGCTTCTTGTTCCTAGTAGCATGTCTTATCTTCAACAAGTTCACAGACCAAAGTTTGGATCACAATCAGAGTCTTTGGCAGCACTGGTCCAGTCCCCTCAGTTCCTAAAGATTGTTCTTTTTCCGACCTCTGAGCCACTTCCGCCATCACAGAGCTCCAGAGTGATTCTTCCTTCACACGGAGTCGGCTCAAACTCGAGCAAAGCTTTGCCAGCTCCTGGGGGCACCATGCACAGTCCCGCCAGGGTCCCACCATTCAGCCAATGATGGTGAAACAGGCAAGACGAGCAGCTGAGAAATGATGGGCATAGCCCAGCCCAACAGGCAGTGGATTGGATGTAGTCGAATGTTCGGTCCATCAACACTGTTCAGAGATAGTGACTCGATTGGGCTCTTTTTCCTTCTTGAGGCCAATCTACAAGAACTTTTCTTGCTTGGCTGTTAGAGCACTTCAGGATTCAACAAATTTGCTGTCCTTGCTCATCTACAAGAATGAGACTCACTTCATCTCGCTTCTCTGTCCTTGCTCTCCAGCAGTGTCACCACATCTGCAACACAATCCAGCAGCTTTGGGAAGGTCTCCGAGACCTCGCTCTGACCGGACGCCTTGGGGATACCACGGGGCCATGAAGCAGCAGTGGATCTTTGGGTGGAAGGAAGACTTCGGATACGAGGCCTCGAAAAGCCTACACAGCTCATGATTGACATGGATCATGTGTTTGGCGCCAGGTTCCGAAATCGGAATCCTTCGATAGAACACCAGAAGTCGTCAAGGGACCCAGGATGGGACCTCTTCCAGCTCGACGTCCGCAGCGGCACGGCGGCGCAAGGGGAGGTGCATACGCCCGGAATCGTGCCGCTCGGGCTGCGCCGCCAGCTTTTCCAAGGCCAAGCTCACATTGCGCGCATCCAGGAGATGAAGGTTCTCGCCTTGCAGAAAAGAAAAGGTTGGGGGTCTCCCTACTAGACTACCATAACTACAAACTCATATGGCTGGAATCTTCACACAACACACAGAAGTCGTTTCATGGCAGGCCAAGGGGGATTGCTGTAGGTGGTCGAGGATACGGAACATCTCTTCTCAGTCTCAGTCCGCTAAAAAGTTCTCACGTGTGTCCCGGTTCAAGAAGCTTCACTGACGGCTGGCTTCATCAAGACACACGTTCGCTCACTTCATGGAGTTGACAGTTCGCTCTGCAAAACATGCGTTTACTGCATTTCACTTCCGAGGCTGCATGGTCCGCTTTTCGGAAGTTGCAGCTATATTAGACCCCGGTCAAACATCTGTCGTCCAGATGCCGACGATGCGAAGCACCCGCAGCGGTGAGGACGCCCGCTGGAGCTCGCGCTGGAGCAAAGCATTCCCGGCCCGAGAGGACCTGGACAGAGAAATTGCCACCAAAAAGCATGTGAAAAGGATTGAAAAGGCGTATGTACAGGAACCAAGTTGCATATATACAGAAAACTTGGCTTCTTGACAATTCGACTGGAGGGATAAATCGGGCTCTGATTGAATCAAGGCTTTTTGTCATGTTGCTGCTTGAAAAAAACAGGTCAATAGATTGTTCCCAAAAGCTCCAACCCTTTCAACCCTGTATCTGGGACTCCTCGGAGTGCTGCAGTAGCTTGCAGCTGCCAGCAGTTTCGGCCCATGGTGCATAAGAAGGAAGGCGTAGCTCAGTCTGATGCGCGGGCAGTCTGCAACCTGCGAACCTGCGAACACAAGTTGGATGCTGCGCCCCTGATGTGCCAAAACAAAAACCAAAAGCATGCTGCATCAGGGGCATATGTGTATGCTATTGGTTGGCATTCTATTGTCTAATTGGTTGGAAGAGACCCCGTGTTGTTCTGCGTGACAAACGCTGCATTGATCATCTGCTTACAATGCGAGCAAGTGGCTGTCGGCCCTGCGTGAAGATCGCTTGAAATGCGCTCACAACCGCCGCAGTCACAACTGCATCAAAATCTTTGACTGAAACTGAAAGACTGTTTCACCGTGGCCACAATATGCTGCAATCATTTGCAAGAAAAATCATGGCCCCAACAAGTACTGGACACACACCAGCCCAGACAGGTTTCGGGCCATTGGAAACGGCTGGGATCCGTCTCCCGCTTCGATCCGCAGCTTGCAGTCTCTGCCTTGACATTGCACAGAAATGGCATAGTCTTCGAGGTGAGATACTGTAGATTGCCATGATTGCATGACTGCCATGGTATGCACATCTCTGGCCAAACTCCAAGCACTGTGGCAGTGGCAACCCTGGCTGTGGCCAAAGAAACGAAGCTGTTGATCTTTCTGGTGCTGTCAACGAAACTGACTGACAATTAAATTGGAGCAGTCTTGAGTCTCACATATGCCAAGGACAGTTGGGAAGACTTCTTTGGGAAGTCTTCGACGGAACACGCAACGCAGCCTTGAAAGATATCCTCTAGGGTTTGGCACAAAGAGATTCGGCCAGACTCCTCTGCCGACGAGACGAAGATTCTCGACGAGACGAACATGCATGGTGGTGGACTATCATTGGAGCAGAAGAATTGTGCACGATCGATGTATGATTTAGAGTTTACAGCAATCGTGATGTTGATAGAGAAGTCCGTGGCCGACTAATGGAACATATAACAAGCAGTCTTGTACAAAGACAGCCCAAGTCATAGAGTCTCATCTTGGCAGTGCAGCAACTCCAAATGCAAGTATCGCTATCTCCTGCAAGACTCAAGAGACTAGTTTTGCCCTTCTTACTAGTAGCGATGCCCTTGTTACTAGTAGCGATGCCCTTGTTACTAGTAGCGATGCCCTGGTTACTAGTAGCTTCTTGCTACTAGAGCTTGCTGATCTTGCCTAAGACCTGAGCTAAGTCTCCACCGCAAGTCGCCACAAGTTTGGCGGCCCTGTGCCTTCTTGTCAATCAGTTCTCGGCCATACTCCAATACCTGCCAGGTTCGGGTCAGGATTGCGCATGTCAAGTGGTCCAGACTCTTTTGGTGCATGGTTTGATTGTCTTCAATCCTCCTCTCTTGAACAGCAAAGCACTCTGCATGGCGCCTGCGGATCCAGGCAAATCATCGCCAAAGGGGCAGCGCCGCCCATGCGTTCGGCCAGGGCGGTCGCCTCAGCATGGCTGTCTCATGCCGGTCGGTCCTCGGCTTCAAGAACTTCTCTTGGGGGAAACTGTGGGCCAGCTCGATTCAAACTTCGACCGCGGTCAATCACAGGGCAGAAAAAAAAAGAAAAAAACATCGTTCACCATGAAGCATTGGAAAACCTGGGCCCTTAGACGGCCCCGTGCAATGTGGTCTCTGAGCCGTGGACCACCTCCAGAACCACATCGGGTCCGGGGCGGTCCGCATTGCCTGGACGATGCGTAGAGTGAAGCTTGACATATTCATGGACCATGTCAATCCTAAGAATTCCAAGAATCCAGATTGTGTGAGATTCCTATTTCATGGCAAGGTGTTGGTACATAACTCCTGCATTGTAAGGCAGAAGCACCATCATTATGCCCTCCAATTTCAGTCAACTTCTTAGGTTGAGTTCAGTCTTGATGCCCCTCGCCTTCCACCATGTCAGATCTGCTGCGCCATGGACACTTTGGTCAACGGCATGTGGTGAATAACTCTGTGGCGGAGGAGGGCGGGTCAACAAGTCAGGATAGACATTGGTGGGTATTTTCGATCTCTTTGGTAAACAAACAGCCAGTGGTCTATTGTACCCTCCACTGTCGCTGGCAGAGTGCTGCTGCACATCCACCTCTTTCAAATTGTCAAAGGTTTCAGAGCTAAGAATAATAAGCTACCCTGTGCTACAGGAACCCTTTCAATTGATGCTAATATGTTGACTTACAGTGCTGTTGAGTACTCCTGCACCGTGTGACCGTGTGGATGTTTTAGCAGAAGATTACCAGGCCTAGATCCACTTCCAGGTGCAGCCAAGCGCTGACATTGCCTATGAACTGCCACCGCTTCAACCATTGTTCATATTTTTTCGTCTTTTTCAGGTCGGATCGATCGGATCTCACAGGTCGAATCACCTCCGGTGGGAGTCTCAGCTTTTCGCTTTTCAACCATTGGGGTTGTGCGACGAGACTCACCAAACACTGACCTGAGGATCACGACGAAGCAACGGCGCAGGACATGGCTCAGCCGAAGTCCTCATCTGCTAAGTCATAGCCCACCCCGGCAAAACATTCATCAGGGAAATGGTGCAAGACTCCTCAAAGTCAAGCTAACTGGCTCTTTTTGACTGGGTGTACCTTATTTCTGGTAGGCACAGCTTGCATTCTGTCAGAACAGCAGGTGCTAACTGTTTTTCTTAGCCCTGCTATTCATTGTGATCTATTGTGCAGAAACAAGGATCTTGCGCAAAAGTGGTCATTGCGCAAAGGACACCATTCCGGCCAGCACATAAGAGCAGAGGACATGTCCTCAATTATACTTCCTATAGATGTATATATATATGGCCATATATATATATATATATCCAGTCCCTGCAAACACAAGCTTGTGCTTTGCCAACCGAACCGAGAGCCATCACCTGTACCACCAGTTCACGGTTTCAGTCTGAGCTACTCATGGCTACTCAGGGTGCTACACCACTACCACCATTGATGTCTGTCTGGGATTCTTCGGCCATTCCGAGCACTTGAAGAACTTCAGTGAGTCGTCGTAACTGAGACATGTGCAAACCCAGAGTCCTACTCACCCAGTCTTGTTGGATACCATAAAGTAGCATTGGCAACGAAGCTGATGGGCGTCTCTCTTCTGCAGAGTGGATACACACAGGCAAAAGTCACAAATTCTGCTTCCTACCTTTGCTCTTCGTGCTCCTGCTTTGCACGTCAAAAATCGGCAGATTGGCAGATTCTGTGAGGATCGGCAGTCTTGTGTCAATAGTGATTTTTTTTTGCAATATATTATAGTAGTGTAATATATCATAATATAGAAAATTATATATACTATACTATACTATACTATAGACATGGCAGGCAACGGCTACTTTGCTCTACAACCTCGACGAGCGCGGACTTTTATCATATTAGCAATTCATGCTTCTTCGTGCAATGTGACAGTGTACCACATTCGGAGAAAGGGTGCATGGGAACACCTGCACCTCAAGGTCGGGTTTTTTGCAAAACCCGTAAGTTAACTGGATAATGATCTATGAATTCGTTGACCAGCCACACTCCAATATTACTTTCCTTATATAAGTGGAAAAACACCGTCTGCAAAGAAAGGGCAACCGCTACCAATGTCTCACCCACGCATCTGTTCATCAGTTTTCATCCAACAAAGTCATTCAAAATGTTCAAAGTGCCCCTTGCCTGACCCTCTCTCGTCTCTACCACAAAGTGGCAAGTCTCAAATGACATGCAGAAAGCCTGCCACTCAAATGGGCCAGCTCAGTCACACCAACAGCGGGACTTCATGAGGCACCTGGAGAGCAAGCACCACGGTCAACAAAGTCGGGTAGCCCCACATCATGCAGCTAAAGCTACAAAAAAGTTGCCTGCCACATCGATTTAATTTCATCAATCCAAGACCTGCTCAGTTTCCCTGTCCAACCAGCGAAAAACGTCTGAAACGAATTCCACCCTCAAGACTTCGATCACGGAATCTCCCAAGCGATCCGAGTCGAGAACCGTCCGGAAGATTGGAAAACCGACTGCCGGTCGACAAAGCTCTCAGACCTGGCCACACAATGCAGCCAATCTCACACTCCACAACCGTCGACTTCGCTTTAAGTCGCCCTGGCCACAAGGAGGCGGCCGCAACCACGTGACTCAGAGGCGGCCCCTCTCTCGGTTGCATGTCCCAACTACTCAGCTAATTGGGCAAATCAACCCCTCTCATCTCATCTCATCTCATCTCATCTCTCTCTCTCTCTCGCGCTGCGCTGGCGCTACCAGTATCTCTACGGTTTTCACAGTCTGCCAGCTCCAAAATGGACCAAAAATCTTCTGCGCAGCCCCCAGCCTTCCACCTGTCCAGTGCTTGTGCCATATGGAGTAAACGGCAGGAGCCACACTGCATTTCACCCGCAAGCACGGCTGGGGAGTCGTCGCTTCCGATTCTTTGCATACCTGGTCGCAAAAGAGTGTCACCGGACAGATAAAGAAACGACCGTCCGTGCCCGGGATTTGTGCGGCCCGGAACTACACCGATCATCTCAGGGGATTCGCAAAACCACTCGCAGCCACGATCCCGTCCACTTAACCTCCCCATCTCTCGTGCCTTTCCATCTTGGAGAGCCTTTGGCTTGGTCTCAATGTTCAAGGCCACATTTAGCATGGAAGAGGCCAGGGCGGGCAAAAGGCCACAATCCTTGGCCAAAACCAGCTTCTGGATGGCTGGTGCCAAAGGAAGCGCCGATGGAAGCGGTAGCTTGGGAGTCTTCAGAGCATCGTGCCCACACCACTTTCGATGCAGTGGGGACCACATGGCCGGGCCGACGCTGCTTAAGATCGACATCTCAGTAGGGCCTTTATGAAAGATCTTCGACACAACCGTCTGCTCCAATTGTTGCACAAGTTCCTGCAGGGTTGTACCAAGTATCTTCATTGAGGCAAGGCACTCCAAAACAAAACAATCCATTACGTGGTTTCAAAGCTATCTGCCCGACCTCCTCGACGGCCATCGTAGCGGATGTCTTCTGGCATGTCCAAT